TTGGAGCAAATGACCAAGGCCAGATATGTGCCTTATCCTGTAGGACAAGGGGAGCTAATGAGAAATGTTGCACAACATTTGTTGTGATAATGCAAGTATTGTTATAGCACAATAAACCTGAGGAGTATTGAAGGAGGAAAAAAATTAGATGCACCCAGATAAGATGAAATAAAATAATATATATGAAATATATAACATATATTACTCCTAATACATTTTATAATCCTAAGACACAATGATTTGACCATGTAGTAATAACAGCTGGCTCCAGGGTGCTGACTATAGAAAAAGAGAATCAATAATGAGAAAGTTGGAGGAATAAGAATCAATATGACTTAGTGACTATTTGAAAATAAAAAGAAAAGAAGAGAGAACTGCTGTGTCCCTTCCCATATAAGATTCTTTAATCTTCATAATTTCCAGAGTCTATCCTTTGTACTCAGTTAAGCATCTGCATTTAGTCTTTATATTTTCTTTTATTTATATTTTAATTTTAAATTCTATTTTATTATTAATAATGCCAAAGTAATAGATTCTACCTCCACCAGGGATGAGAGATTTATGTGGTATGATTCAAAAGATTTTTGGGACAAGTGACTCATAAATGCAGCCTTTATGGTCTCATGGTGATTTTAATGAAGTCAGATTCTTATGCAATAAACAGAAGATTATTACTTCACTCTAGGATCAAGAGACGAGGGGCTATAAAATATGAGGCCATTTTAAAGGCACCATTAGAACACATAAGCATAAATTAAGCTTTGAGGCTTAAAACTGCCAGAGAAGTTTTTTCACTGCATGGAATACTGTATCGTCTTCATATTTTATCACTCTTATCACATATTTATCACTCTTAAAACTTTTCACTATGCCATTTTGACAGGGAATTATGGCAGAAAAATGGCAGCCAGAATAGGAGAGGAAGGGAGGGTGGAATGAGCAACGTGTTTCCCTGTAACTTCTGGGAGTTGGCCTGAGAATTAGTCATTCATTCATTCAAGCATTTATTTCCAGGAGTTCCTGCTCTCTAGGAATTATGTTCTATATGTAAGAGATATAGGGACAATTAAATCATATACCTGCCCTCAAGAATCTTAGAGTCTATTGGCTAAGGCAGATTAGTAAACCAAAGTTGAAAAGACATGCAAGAAGTGCTATAAATATTGTGTGCACACAGGGTTATGGGACTAAAGCTGAGGGGAGCAAGGGAGAAGTAGCTCAATCAGTGTTGGGCTGGAGGAGGAAGGGGATGGAGGCAGAGGGAGCCTGAAATGGCTTCCAAGAGGAAGTGATGCTTGAACTTCCTCCCTTATATTTGCACTCCCACCCCCTCACCTTTGGCCTTTCCCTGCATTCAGGCTGCCAAACTGCTTGTTTTTTTTTTTTTTTTAATGCCTTTGGGAAGAAATCTGAGAACAGAAAGCAGAGAAATTTGAGTCCTGTCACGACTTTGAGTTCTAAAGGCCAGGCCCTTAGTGGAAGGATCTGTCTTAAGGTGTGGATGTCAGATAAGACAGAATGTGAAATAAATAAGAGCAGGGTCTTCTGTTTCTCAAAGCCTGAGAAAGAGGTCATGGGCTTAGGGGAGGGGGAAGTGTCAGAGGGGCTGCTTTGTGGGTGCAGGTGTCAATGAGACCTGTATCCTTCATGGCTAAGCCCCAGGAAATTAAGAACTGTCAGCAGGAGGACCCTAACCCTTGGTAGAGCCATGAGAAGGAGTGGCCTGGAGGTGTTTCAGGGGGATGTTATCTTAGACATGCCTAGAGTTTCCTGTGCCTCCATTTGGGGTAGAGCAGTGAGATGATTTTGGGGCATCTAGAAGTGGCTTGGACATAGCTGAGAGAGGGCAGGAGAGAGAGAAAAGGAGGAGGTGATTGCTGGAAATGAAGGGGTTACATAAATAGCAACAAGGGACAACATGGTGGCAACAGTTCTCAGTGTAACTGTGAGAACTGAAAACATAATGGACATCTTAATAGATGACAGTTTATAGGGATGACATCAGGGCAGATGGAGCCCGTACTCTTCATGTTGAGAAAATCCCCTTAAAACATAGATGCAATGGTAAGAAACCAGAGGTAGGGGGTGGGGAATCAGAGAAGGGCTGAAATTAAGTTTCTACCATTTAGGTAGAATGGCACCTAGAACAAAAGCTTAGGTTAAGTTTCAGAAAAATGAAATTACTTTTCTTATCTCCAGATTTGTAGACCCAGATTCATGCTCACCATATTGGTGGTATTTGTCAAGGGCTTATAGAATTAGGAAAAAGAAGGACAGGTTCTAGCCAAGAACTAATGCTTAGGCTTAAAAGAGCATGGCATAGTGTCTAGAAAAATGTTCAAGTAGCAGGATGAGTATAAGGGAGTGTTTAGCAGTAAACATGAGTGAACAGAGTTTGGGAAAGGCCAGATCAGAAAGGATCTCCCATTCCATATGTAGGAATCATCAGTGTTTTGCAGAAGGCAATGTGAAGCACTGAGGGATTTCGTAAAGAGAGCAACACTCAAAGGCTACTTAGACAACTGCTGCTTGAAATGTCTAGAGAGAATTTGAAACGGGGACCAGTAGGAGGCTGGTTAGGAGAAATGTGGAGGTCTTGAGTTCTCAATAGTATTGGAGCTGGACAAAAGCAAACACTTGGAGAAATATTTCAGGTATTCATAATGTTTGGCTATATGGGGAGAGAGAAAAAAGAAAGAGGAGGAGCTGAGGATATTACCACATTTCTGGGATCCAGAATAAAAAAAGAAGAGAAATAATATAATGAGGAAAATCTTGAGTTCCATTTCTGAATGTTGTAAATTTGCAATGTTTAAGTAAGATCAAGGTAGAGATGTCCAGTTTAGTGCTGGAATATAGGTCGATATCACACAGAAAGGTAGATTTGAGCTGGGGGTAATTTTTTTAGGAATCATAATTACTAAAAGGTAGTAAGAGAAGTGGCTGTGGTTAAGGTTATTCAGGGAGGAGAGAAGAGGCCACAGGATGAAACTCCAAGGTTAAAAGAAGAAGGGAGTCCATGTGGGAGCCTAAAGGTAACCACTGAAGAGCCCCGAAAATGACATTTTTGAAGCCAAAGGAGGAGAGAAGTTTAAAAAGGAGGTAGTCATCAGCACTAGATGGGAAAAGAAAGGAAATATGCACTTTGGATTTGGTAGTTAGACCATCAGTAATCAACTTGATAATCAAGGATGTGGAAGAAATAGAGAGGAGGGAAGGTTGAAGAAGACCAAGGAAGCAACATAGATCCTCTGTTCTTTTAAGACACTTATTTGAAAAAGGAAGAAAACACAAGAACCAGAAGAGGAATTGGGTTAAGTGAATTTCTTTGGTACAAAAGAGAACCTATTTCTGTGCTAAGAGGGTTGTAGTAACAAAGAGGATACAGTTGAAAATAGAGGAGGAAAATTGGTGTAGTAAGTTACTGGGACTTGGGGGAATGGCCTGGAGCCTGGGTGGAGAGAACAGGTTTCTCCTGCTCTGAGGTGGAAGGAAGTGGGAGGAGAAGGGTGGCAATGGGGGGACATTTGTAGATCAGGGGACCGGGAATCGATTTAACAGTGATCTGTACTAGCTCTGCTAGAATCCCTCATGTGGACCACAGGGATGTGTAGGAAGCCATCCCTGCCTTCTGCCGTCTCAAACATTCACTTCGATTACATGACTCAGCTGAGACCACCCGATCCAGGAGTGGCAGAGCTGGGTCTGGGATCATTCTCCTGACTCTCCGTTAGCCTCAGAAAGTTCCATCTTATCTATCTTTCCATGCTGAATCCCAAAGAGCAATTTAGTGGTGTCCAAGTAAGAGAATGTCACATGGGGACCCACGTGGGTCCATCAGGAAACCAACAGTGTTTGGGGAGGAAGTAAAATGAATGACCTGATCATTCTGTTTTTCTCCTGCTGTGGAGTCAAAGTGTTTAGGGATCAAGAAATCTCTTTCTTTTCATGTCATTCAGTGTTCTTTGATGATACTTTCGAAGAATTTTGAATGACCAATTTTGTCTTCTGTTCTTAAAGCCCAAACTACATTTTCTGAAGGGTGTGTGTGTGTGTGTGTATGTGTAAACCATGACAATTTACATAGGGCATTGTGATGTATCATGGAAAATATATTCAAAATGTATATATGTGATCTAAAAGCCTAAGGTAACAAAAAGGACAGTAATAGAAAATGGAGACATAAAAGACAAGAGGAGAATGAACCTAGAATTGTACCTTGAGAACTTCTTACTTCCCCCACTATCCTGTTCAATGTTGGATACAATACAAATCTTAATTTAAGTCTAAACATGAGACTTCTTATTTTGAGAAGTGCCAGGGAAAGCTTTATTTAATGTTTTTGGGAAGCAAAGAATTAGCCCCTCATCTATGTATTCTGCATATTCTAGTTTCCTTCCATTGTATTTGCTTTAAATTGAAATGTATCAGTCAGTATAAAGTATGTAACGGGTATAATAACATCACATGTATAATAACATCACAAAGGCAGGTAAGGCAACAAAAATAATGTCAAGGATCTTGATATTGAATGTTCATTGTGGTTAAAGAAAGCAGAGGTAAAACTTTTTAAAAAATTCATTTGTGGCATAGACTCCTTCTATCTGACTCCAAACAATGTGGGCTTTTGCAGCAAACACTCTGAGTCCAATCCCAGTGCCTCTCCTACCAGAGTTTTATGACAATTAAACAAGATAGCATCATGTGAGGTTAATAAACCTCAATAAGCACTCAATAAATGGTGATAGCAACTGTCTTGTAGTTGAAGATGGACTTTGCTTGGCTATACACAAGCATAACAGAATCAGATGTACATAAAGATTCTATCTAATGCAGCTGGGTTCTTTTGGAAGACAAAAAAATATTATTCCATCCTGGTGTCCATTTGGTGGTGAACGATTCTACCTAATCATAGCAATCACTTCTGCTTCTTTCTTTTTACGTCGATGAATACTCTTTTTAAAAAGCCACATGCAGAGGGATACAGAGAAAGTTCTTACCTCTCCTGAAGTCCTATGGGCTTCATTTTGAAAGGAGAAGGACAGACCGAGGTGGAGGTGGAGGCTTTGATCTCAGGAGTGCATCGGCCCTGGGGGTCCACGACAACGTTCAGCACCTTCGGGGCCTGCTCAGGTTGGACCATGCTGTGGCCCGTCTTTGCCTCAGGCTGTGCTGGCTGTAATGTGACGGGTGACAGGTGGATCTCCTGGTTTTTCTCTTTGTCTTGTCTCAAGGAAAGCTGAAGCCTTTCTTTTAATCTATAAAGAATCTATAGAAGGAGATATAAAACGTTCCTGTCACATTTTCTCACATTAACAACGGAGTATGATTTCCTCCACCCCAATCTAGAAGACAAACCAAAATAAAGTTTTAATGATAAAGTAAGAAAAACCTTCTCGTATGATTTCTAGGTTTTGTGGTATTGAGATTTTTCTTAAGATGATATACTTGGTATTTCTAGTAATGCTGAACATACATATCAAATATTTGTATACATGAATCTGTTCCTCAAAGATATAGTCAAAAGCAAATTTAGCTAATCTTATAGAAATTCCAGATGTCAATTTGATCACATGGGAATTCTTATTTAAGATGACTGGAATGGCTTATAGAAGGAATAGCTATGAAACAAGGCCTATGACATTTATAGAAATGGAGATCTGCATCCAATATGGCATGAAAGAAAAGTGTCTTGCAAAATATCAATAAAAGAAGAGCTATGCCATAAATCATAATTTCTTATGTTGGTAAATATCTGCATTAGTCATATGCCAACTTGAGTATCTGGTAAATACTTGCCAAAATTAACTTTAGGCCATTTATCAAAGAATAATTTGGACAACCAGAATTTTCTTTCTTAACCCTTTCTCCTTTTAATTTTTAATGCATGTACAAAAAAAGCAAAAGTATCATTTTTTTTTCATTCTCAGAGCTTTTTCTGGAATGCCTAATTTAATTTAGAAATGACAGGATCATCACTTTTAAACTTTTAGAAGAACTAGACTGACTTTGCTGGCACACTTCATAGGACAAATTGTGAGATGAGGAAAGCTTATCTTTCAGGTCCTCAGGCTTCCCTTTTTATAGTCTTTTTAATCCTTCTTTTGATGCTAACCTCTGTACTCCAATTCCTACAGAAACTAGATGTCCTGGTGTTTCTTCTAGTCTGCTCTCAGGAAGTGACTTGGCAAGTTAATTGACATGAAGAGGTGACTTAATCCATTACCTGTAAATATCTGAAGGCATATAGCACTGATGACATCTATATCTTTAAAAGCCTTAAGCCAACTAAACTCTCCTGTTTAATTTTTGGAATCCATGAACTTAATGAATGTTACCTTAGGAGGACAAGGCATTTTGCAATCAAATGTATTGTAGTTCTGAGGTGAATTCTGTCTTTCCTTCTCTTTCAAAGTTCCTTTAAATCCTAGTAATCTCTATATTTTAAATCTCCTGTAAAGATACAAAGTCTAAATGTATGTTTTTTCTTATTAAATGATCATAAGCAAAAAAGATAATTAGGGAAGAATATGGCTGAAATTGTGGAGGACATAAACACTTTAGAGAATTTGTTTCAGGCCAATTTTAGAAACTATTTGTCCAGTATTCTCAAAATAAGATTGTGAAAAAAAAGTATGTTTAGCAGTAAGGTTATAAAAAAGAATCAGAATAAAATAAAAACACAGCAATCTAAGATGAAAAGCCATCAGACAGATTTAAGAAAAAGAACCTACAGAACTGAAAACTCAGTAGCAGGATGTAAATCATTTTTTTTTTTTTGTAAGCAATAAAGAACAGCAATGAAGAAAACGTAATCAGTGGTATATAAGCAAATTTGAGACTACTTGGAATATAGAACAAAAGAATAAAAAGATGAATATGAAAACAAGAGAAAAGATAGGATATGTGTCAGAGAAGAGTTACTGTAAATGATAAACTATTTAATAGAGTAAGTGAAAGAGCAGCAAATCATTCAAAACTATATTTTAGTGCCCACTTTGTGTTGTGTGTTGTGAAAGGTACAGGGTATTTCACCATGAACAGAGTAGACTGCCCCCTGTTTTTATGGAACTTAGGGATATGGAATGAGAAACATTCTTAGGTTAAAAAACAAAAATAAAAACAAAAAAACCCAAGCAATGTATGTCAATTGAAGTAAGTGGAGTGAATGTGAGAATAAAATGGAAAGTGGAACAATTTTTCATAGCTTTGAGAAAAAATGTATATTTCAAAGGATGCATAAATTTTATACCTAGACATATTGAAGTTTATGTGTCTAAAGCCAACAGAATTTCTCAAATGCACAAGGTCTCAGAAAATATACCACCCCATGTCTCTTCCTAAAAAAATTTACCTAAAGGTATACTCCCAATCATGAAAAGATGTCTCCAAATTAAGAGCTAAAGAAGTAGACATTTTGTTCATTTAAACACAGAGTGAAAACTAAGTTTAATTATGTCTCGGGTCTAACATCCCAAATTGTAGTAACAAAAAAGAAGGTTGGGAGAGGGCAGAGAGGTAAAAAAAATAGGGGTTAAATATATGCTAAGTTACTTTTTAGTTAGAGATACCAAAGGAATCAGTTAGAATGGTCATTAGAGGTCTCTCTAACCTTGTTATAAATTAAGAAAACAGGTCTGGCCAAGCAATGGGCTTGTCGGAATCCACACTTAGTTGTGGCAGAGTGCAGCCCTAATGCAATTCCGACTTGCAGTCCTATGCATTTTCCACCTTCCCTGCTCCCTACACAACCGGGTTTCAAACCCACTAAATCTAAGAGTATGGTGTTTGTGGACTGAAAGATCTCCTTAAGGAAAAAGACCATGCACCTACGAGGTAAAACTAGGCATGCATATTACACATTGAACTTCAGGAAATGAAAGAAAATCCTTATTGTCTTTTATGTCAGTTCACTTTCTCATAACCTGGAAACTCTTATACTGGTGGTATTCGTGGACTCTGATAGGGTAAAACTAAATCTTACATTTTGAAAAATAATGGATTTATAATATTCCCATAACAAATATAACGGAATAAGAAAAAAAGACATCTAATACAAAGTGACAAATCTTTTTACCTTTATTATAATTACTTTCAAACAAGTATATTGTGGTATCTTTAAACTACAGGACAGAAAACACTGTCCTATGGCTCTTGGAGCAGCACTATAGCAGTTGGCAAGAACAAACACATTACAAAAGGTGGCTAAAAAGAAGCCAAGAAGAAAATGGTTGATCAATTTTCTAAGAAAAATTGTTATGATGTGAAAGCACCTACTATGTTCAATTAAGAAATGTTGGGAAAACACTACTCACCAGGATTCAAGGAACCAAAATTGCATCTAATGGCCTCAGGAGTTGTGTGTTTAAAGTGAGTCTTGCTGATTTGGAGAATGATGAATTTGTATTTAGAAATTTAAGCTGATTAATTGAAGATGTTCAGGGCAAAAACTACCTGACCAGTTTCCATGGCATGGATCTTACCCCTGGTAAAGTGAGTTCATGGTAAAAAATGGTAGACCATGATGGAAGCTCTCGTTGATGTCAAGATTCCCAGTGGTTATTTGCTTCATCTGTTCTGTGTTGGTTTTACTAAGAAATGCAAGTCTTTAGATGTGAAGAGCTTAGAATACACTGAAAAAAGATTCTTAGAATATAGTTTATAAAATGCAACAATCAGATACAGAGCAGATGAAGGACTTGAAAGAAGTGGTCAATAAATTGATTTTGGACCACATTGGAAAAGACATAGAAAAGGCTTGACAACCTATTTGTCCTTTCTGCTATGTCTTCATTAGTAAAATAAACATGCTGAAGAAGCCCTAGTGTGAATTGGGAAAACTCATGGGGCTTCATGGTGAAAGTAGTAGTTCTGGAAAAGCTACTGGGGACGAGACGTGCTAAAATTGAACAAGCTGTTGTGATGGATAATGAACCATTAGTCCTAGAATTTGCTTAAAATTCAGACTTTTAATAGTGAAAACTAAAGTCTTATTTGTGGGAAAAAAAGGATAGAGAATACTAAAGATGAATACCCTTATCATGTATGTAGTGCCTAAGGTTTTTAGCTTACTGCTTCTTTTCAGTTTTCATCACCCTCACAGCGTATTTTGTCACCACCACTCTGTAAAAACAACACCCATACTCGAACAATACCAGTCAGAAAATACCTATGTATCTTAAACTTATTGTGTTAAGTTAAACACATAACTACTAAATGATGAGGCAATAGCATTTAAGGTAAGTTTTTTTTAACTGCAAGCAAGTTATTTTCCTGAATATAGAAAGAAACGAATATATCTGTCCCCTTACAAAAATACATTTAGTAGAAGATAATGCATATATTACATATTCTAAGCTGTTCATATCTAAATATAATATGCATATCAGAACATTTGTTTGCCTGTCTACATTTGGATTTTGGAGAAACATATTTCAACAATGAAAATGAGAAAGCTGAGGAAATGTTGACCTTCTCAATTGTTTTTGACAGGTCCTTTTATGATTATATTAGCATAAAACAAGGTCTAGTGAGTTCTCCCCTACCATTCATAGAGCTTAAGCTTTTTTTTAAATTTTTTTTTTATTTCGGCATATTATGGGGGTACAGATTTTAAGGTTTCAATAAATGCCCTTCCCCCCCCACAAGTCTGAGTTTCCAGCATGACCATCCCCCAGATGGTGCACATCTCACTCATTATGTATGTATATACCCGCCCCCCTCCCGAGCTTATGCTTTTGATGAGGAATCTTTGTAACATATTTTACAATCAGTCATTTGTTTACTTCCTCTCTGGTTAGAGGTCAACTTTTAAACCTGTCTCTGTGTAGTAGGTGTACAAACTGATTTCTACATCTTTAATTAGGGAAGTCAGAACCTGGAGAATGTATAATGTGTATAAGACACTGTTTAAAAATACTGAAGAGATTGGGCTGTCTGCAGAAATGCAGAAAGTATTGAAGAGGTTGGCAGTAGGGCAGTTGTCACGGAATTAAGCTGAAAGGCAGTGGTTCTCAACTGGCAGGGATTTTGACTTTCAGGGAACATTTGGCAATGCCTAGAGACATTTTTTGTTGTCATATTAGAGGGGAGTGAGGGAGAAGGGAAGAGTACTATTGGCACCAAGGGGGCAGAGGCAAGGGATGCTACCCTATGAAGCACAGGAAAGATTCCCCCCACAAGATAAACAGTCCAAAATGTCATTAATGCTGCCTGGGAGAAACCAGCGTGAGTAAGCCCAGAGCAGTTGAATGATTTATGGAATGTTGG